TCCAAGTGTCGTTTTACTTCATTTTGGTCACTAATTATATTTCTGCAACCACACTTTAAACACGGGCATCTTACCCCTCCTTCGCTTCGACAACATTCTTGAGCAAACGCATAAGTAAGAAATGCAACAACTCCTTCTTTAAAATGTGGTTTAAGTCCACGTCTTCTTGGATACATTCTAACATACATCCAACTACGATAGAACTAGTAATATTCTATATTGCACATGTGTAATGTTGTTCATGTTTAAGTTTATATTTAAGAAAAGGGGAATTGATCTACCTACAGACTTATGACTATTGACCTACCTAATATATCATATTATGTTTCTACAAATTTACATGCTTTATAAAATTTTAACTTACAAATTATAGTGTTTTATAATATAAATATTAAAATCTTTTTTATAATATTTTAATTAAAATCTGTTTTATAATATAAATATTAAAATTTGTTTTATAATTAAATATATATACTGTTTTAATTAAATAATATATAATACTAATATTTTAATAACAATATATTAAAATCTGTTTTATAATATAAATATTAAAATCTGTTTTATAACAAAATATATTTTCTTTATAATGTAAAACAGAATAAAAATATACTACTATCATTTTTCTTATATTTTCTTTACAAAATATACATAAATTTCTGTCTTATATTTTTTAACAAAATATACATAAATTTTCTTATAATGTAAAATCTGTCTTATATTTTTTAACAAAATATACATAAATTTTTTATACATCAACAACCACCAACATCAACAACCTTTTGATGCTCTCCAAAATTTGTAGCTCCTCTTGACAAAAATTTGATAGCTTTGTATATTATCCACAATACATGCAACACAACAAATAAAAAAATAAAAATAAATCTAAACAATAAAATAAATTATAAATACGAAAATAATATAAATAAATAAAATAACTTACTTTTATGAAGTGGGACAAAAATGGTGGAACATGAAAGGAGAAGAAGAAGAATAAGGAAGAAAAACGTAGAAGATGAAATGGAGAAGAAAGAGAAGAAACTGAAAAGTTTTGGCTTGATGAATGTGGCTGATACAATTGGAAATAATTTGGGCATTTAATAGTGTATTTTGCGAGAGGCAGCTCCACGCATATCCCAACGGTCACAATGACGTGACGTCATTTGCGAGGGGATCCTCCACGCAGGCAATCAATAGGCCATTTGCGAGGAGATGCCCCTAGCCAGTGTTGGCATGTGGCAAACAATATGGCAGAGGAATAAATGCCTTTTCAGAAGGATTTGACTAAAGTAGGACAAATGGTGAGGGGAGGCCCCTCGCAAATTGTGAACCATGGCGTGGTGAGGGGATCCCCCCTCGCAAATGTTCAACCTTCCCACCAGATTCTGCGCTAAACCCTAGTAAAAGTATATTTCAAATTTCAAAAAAATTCCCCCTTTTTTGCGAGGGGTATCCCCTAACTAACTGTTTTTATTTTTTTTCTCCCTATTTTGTGTTTTGTGAGGGGTTTAACCCCAAACAAATGTATTTATTTTAGTGAGGGGTTTTCCCCCTAACCCATGCCCCTAGTTAATTCCATGTTTTCTTGTAGTGAGTAGTGTGTAGTTATGAAGAAAAAGGGTTTTGTAGTGTTGTAGTAAATTGCATGAAGATGGAGATGAAAGGAATAAGAGAAGTAGTGAAGTGATGAAATGGTGGTTGATTCATACATTTGGAGTGTAGTTACAGAGAAGTAAAAATGAGGGTGTTTGTTGCATTTAGGAATGGAGAGATGTGTTTTACTATATGTATGTTCAATAACAAAACAAGAGGTGATGCAGTAATAAATGAAGTGTTGTGTGTTGATATGTGAAGGGAAAGGTGTTCCAATGTTGTTTCTTTATGCTGTCATGGTTTGGGTAACATGAAAAGAAGAAAAAAAAACAAAAAGAGGTAGGGTCAGTAATAGAAGGGTAGCGCAGGAAAATTGAGAGAGAGATAATAGGGAAATGGGTGAGTCCGCATGACATTGTGTTTCAGTATGTACAGGTATTGCCTTCAAAAATCAAGCTATCAATAAAAAATACTTTATGAAACTTCTTCACTAAGTGTTACTATGAAAGAATAAAACCCAAAAATTTAAATATTAAGATATAAACAATATAAACTAATTAAAAAAATTATATTAAAAATAAAAACTAGATTGAAAAATAAACTAAATATAAATTAAATTAGAAAATAACCAAAAAGAGAAGCTATATTAAAATACAAACTGAATAAAAAAACTAAATCAATTCTAAATAATGTTTTAAGATAATGAAAACAAAAGATTCTACAATGGAATGGTAAAATTGGCTAAAAATACATGATTAATGATCAATGATATTTTAACTAAGAAGAATGCAAAAATGGCCGACTTAAAATGATATGATAATGATCAAAGAATCTGAGGATAAAATTTGGGGTATGGCAGATTCTTTTAAACCTCAAAATCAGTTAGCTAGGATTGAAAATGCAAAGGAAACAATTGAGACCATTAGCTTAAAAAAATATGCGTTTGTGGATGCAACACAAAATAATGAAGCTGAAGGAATTCTACATTATTCTCAAAAATAGAATAAAAAGTTTCTCTGTAACTCATGGACAAATATGATAGATCAAATTGAAGAGGAGGACCAGTTTGGTGAGGATATAAACCCTGAAGCTGAATTTCTTAATTTTCTATTGGAAATGACCAATCCCAAAAGAAAAAATCAAGACAAAAATCTAAATCTAGAAACTCTTATTCAACCAGGTCCAAATCTTATAATGGCATGACTTCACAATGAATTGCTTTTTTCTGAAACCTAGGGGGTCTGGCCAATGTTCCCATTATATTGGCACTAAAAAAAGCTAATTCAAATTCACAAACCTGATTTCGGCCTTTTAGCAAAACCCTGGATGGACTTTGGAAATCTCCCAAGGGAGATAAATCAAGAACCTTGAGATATTATGGTTCGACTAAGCAACACATATTCTCTTCAATATGGCAAGGAATTAAAATTTAAATCAAATATCTCATCTGTCACTTTTGTTCGATTTTAGGCATGGTAAGAACATCAATTTTTGGATGGATACTTGGTGTGGCCAGCCTCTCCACTTAGAAACAGGTTTAGAATTTCTTGCAGCTAAAGGAATTAATACCGTATCTAAAGTTTTAGAATTTCACTCAAATGGTCATTGGAACGTTTCTGATTCTTTGACAAATATTTTTCCTTTTCTTCAAACCAGACTGACTATCACTTTTTTGTCTGATGAGGATGAAGATAATTAAAGAATACGACCTTACTCTTCTTCTCAATTAATAAATCTCAAGGAAGCATACATTCATAAATCTAAACCTCCAACAAAAATTCCTTGAGCCAACAATATTTGGAGCAAGGACATTCCCCTTCTTAGTCAATATTTATCTGGAGATTGATGCAATAGAAGCTTACTACAAATGTTGCCCTTATGTCGAGAAGCTATTGTGTAATCTCCTATTTCTCTTTGTGCAAAGCTAACACTGAATCTCTTTATCACTTGTTCTTCAATTGTAGGTAGGCTTATTCTCTATGGCACTGGTTCTACAATATTGCTAGAATCCACATTAGGTCCACTAATCTAGAAAATCTTTGGCAAATTGGTTCATCGGAGTCACCTCAATCCTCTTTTGCCGTTAGATCTGTCCTGATAGGTCCGCTCAATAAAATTTAGTTTGCTATAAATAATGCCCGATATACACACACTTTCATCCCTCCCAACACAATAATTGCAGGCATAAAGGGTCAGGTCACTATCTCAGGAAATAAATCATTTGCAACTGCTACCTCTTCTAGGGAAGACTTCACCTTGCTCAAAGCTTTTGACATCAAAATTCACTACCATAATGTCTCGACCATTAATGAAGTGATATGACATCCACCTCATTCAAATTAGTTAAAGTGTAATTGCGATGATGCTTATGACCATAAATTCCACAAATCAGGTTGTGCTGGAATCTTTAGGAGCAACCATGGTAACTTTATTCTCGCATTCTCTGAAAAATCACAATTCTTCATCCTCCATTCTAGCTGAATTTAAGGCAATAATCAAAGCAATCACAATTGTTTCATAGAAGCTTTGGCATAATGTGGATATAAATAAATTTTCTAATAGTGGTTCAAGCTCTCTCAAACCCTTCTTTGGTTCCTTGGCAAGTGGCAACTAAGGAAGCCTTGAGATAAATGTTTGATTATTAATTCTAACAGAGACGTCCTCTATAACACATATATAAGGAAATAAATTCGCATGTGAACTTTTTTTTCCTACCATAAGTCTCACACTCTTCGAGACATTGACTCCATAACTTGAACATTAGAAAAGATTTTATAAAGAATATGCTTGGTATGTCTTTCTATTGAATCACCACTTTTTGAATGAGTTCTGTCATAGTTCTCCTGCTTTTTGTGTAAATATCTTTTTCTTTTAATATATTATACCTTATTAAAAAAAGTCAATTACAATTGTAAAATTATTATAGATGTCAAATTTTTTAGTTTAATGAATATGCAAAATAATGTTGTACACTATCGTTAATAGAAGTTCATCATTAAATTATATTATACCACTAATTTAAAAATATTGATAAAATGCATGATAATTATTGATTTTTACACCGATAATGCTTCTTTTATTTTTCTCTAAATATTTTTTCTTTTAAAATATTTTTATAAATATCTATTTATTGCGATTTGTTTATATAAAAATATTTTATTTTTCAGTAAAAATTGAACCATTAAACTCTAATTAAAATTTTCAGAATATTTAGAACACGAAAAAGGGAGGGAATTTTCTGTTACTACTTGACAAATTAATGCTAAAATTTTCAAACTTTTTATGATTTCGTAGTTTGAGATTCTCAATTCTCAAACTTCTACTCGATTTCTCGTCATCTTCAACTCGAAGCCACCAACCAACACTGAAAACATCGTTATCTAGTTCCCAAAACGACACCGTTTCGATCGATGGTTAAGGGTTTGCACAGCCAAAACCTCCCGGCCGATGTAGCACATGTCGTCGATCAGCTAGAGCGCCACTGCTTGGCTCCTGATGGATCTCTCATCTCCAAGCCTCTCTACAACGATCTCCAACTCGTAATTCTCTCTCACCAAACAATGCTCTCTATGTGTTTGTTGAATTTCCCCATTTTGTTAAATGTCCGAAAAATTGAATAAAATTTAGTTAGGTATTGAGATTTACTGTTTGATTTGCAGGCTAGAGAGGAAATGTGCAGGGAAAGACATCGCTATCTAGAAGCCATGGTATGTATGTGTATAGGTTTATATATACCCATAAAGTGTTATCTTGTGTTTGGGTTACGGATTGGATTTAAACCATAAGTGCTGTCACTGTAATGTAAATAAATTGTACACTTACATTCATTGAAACCATAGTTTTAAATTGCGGGTGTTGCGAATAGGGTTATTGCGGTTGTTGCGATGAGTATTGGATGTGAATTTTAATTAGGAGATGTTTGAAATATGCCGTTAAAAAATACTTTGATGCTAAGATTTTTCATTACATAGGAAGTGAATTGTGGTTTTGGGTTCTTAAGTTGAGTTTTGATGAAAATACATGAATAAAAATGGGCGAAATTGTCTGATGTGCGATGAATATTGGATGTGAATTTTAATTAGGAGATGTTTGAAATATACCGTTAAAAAATACTTTGATGCTAAGATTTTTCATTACATAGGAAGTGAATTGTGGTTTTGGGTTCTTAAGTTGAATTTTGATGAAAATACATGAATAAAAATGGGCGAAATTGTCTGATGTGCGATGAATATTGGATGTGAATTTTAATTAGGAGATGTTTGAAATATACCGTTAAAAAATACTTTGATGCTAAGATTTTTCATTACATAGGAAGTGAATTGTGGTTTTGGGTTCTTAAGTTGAGTTTTGATGAAAATACATGAATAAAAATGGGCGGAATTGTCTGATGTGCGATGAGTATTGGATATGAATTTTAATTAGGAGATGTTTGAAATATACCATTAAAAAATACTTTGATGCTAATATTTTTCATTACATAGGAAGTGAATTGTGGTTTTGGGTTCTTAAGTTGAGTTTTGATGAAAATACATGAATAAAAATAGGCGAAATTGTCTGATGTGGTTTCTAATGGCGGTTGGACGTATGTCTTTTAATTCACGCCACAATTGCGGTCCGATGTGGTTGCCGAGACTACCACGTCAGCAATGTTGCGGCCATAGTTGCAGTTGCGGACTGCAATTTAAAACCATGATTGAAACTATTTTTTTTTTTTGCCAGAGTAGCCACCTTTATAACTGTATTTTAGAATTGATAATTTGACAATAAAAATGGAAGGAGTCCCACTGAATGTCAGGGTAAAACTAATTTATGTCGTAATATATGCTAATTAAACTCTTATGATGTGTTTGGATGGAGGGTTTTGGAGAGAAGAACTTTGGAAAGCTAAGTCTATGTCTTGGTATATATTTGAGATTTCAATTTATTCGAAGGAGTCACATGATAACGTTTCAGTTACACTTAATTTAGTTTTAGAAGCATTTTATAGCTTGCTTAATTTAGAAATGAAAAATAAGCCCTTCCCTCCCCTCCAAGATTATAATACAGGACTAAATTGTTAAGTGTAGTGTGAATGTGATTCTTATTTTAGTGATTTATACTTTTGGTGTGGCGGATTTGGTTGCAGGCTATATATTCTGAGGCTATTGCAATGGTGGAAGAGTATCATCAAGCCATTTCTGTGTCTAGCATCGGTGGAATGAGAGATACTGGAGGTCTTTATCCGCAGTTTGGATTGAGGAACTCTCCTCAGGTTCTTGAACTATTATTTCTGAAAGTTTAGTTTGATTTAGAAATCAATATGAGAACTATGTGAGAATGTTGTTGGTTTTGGTATTTGAAAATTTGAGTCATCAACATAAAGACATTTAAACTCTTTACAAATGCTATTTATGGGAGTTGAGTATTATATGGATCATCTTTACTTCATTCTTTTTGTTAAGAAATGTGGTTGGACCTAACTCAACAATACAAAACCGGCTTGTAGGATGAGGATTGCCCCCACTTATAAGCACATGTTCAGGCCATATATTGTCTGATGTGGAAATCGTAACACACCTCTCACACCCAGAACTAGACATCTAGAACACGGAAATAAATGGTGGATTGTCCGATAGCGAAAATCTGATAGCAGATGCCTTGCCGGATCTTAAGCCAGGCTCTAATACCATGTTAAGAATGTGTGGTTTGGGTCTAACTCAACAATAAAAAACCGGCTTGTAGGATAAGGATTGCCCCACTTATAAGCACATGTTCAGATCATATATTGTCTGATGTGGAAATCTTAACACCTTTAATCATCGGTTACATGGATGGAATTGATATTTAAATAGCATAATAAAGAAGATATTGATTTCTGAAAGCAGAAAAGATTACATCATATGTTAGCTGTATGAGAGTGATGCTGATTGTTCCTTCTCAAAAATTTGAGTCAAGAACATGGAGAGAACAATTATACTCTTTACAAAATGCTCTTTGTGGGAATGGCATATGATACAGATCTTCTCTTCACTTCATACCTTACATCATAAGTTACATGGAGGGAAGTGATGTTTGAACTGCATAATAATTAAGATAGCGGGATTTTAATTTAGATGTTACAGAATTGCAAAGCAGAAAGTTTAATCTATTGAGTGCTTCCTGAAATTACGCCGGCTCTGTAAATTTTGTTAGAATATGTTCGGTTATCTCTTTATTTTACTGTTTTGATTCTTGATACTTCATGCTTTCATATTTATGCATTGTGCATTATGTGCTTAAATGTGTTTTTAGGGCACCGGTCTTTATTCAATCAAATGAACATGTCAATATATTGTCAGGTTTATCAGACATTAGAACATCAAATGACTGTCGCCGAAGCGGCTCAGCGATTAAGACTACCTCTTATTTCCAAAGATGGAGAAGTTCATGATGAAGAAATTGAAAAGCTAAGTGTAGTGTCTCGAAGCTCCCTTGACAGTACTAGCACCGGTGCTGTGAACAACTCGAGCATGAATTCTTCTAATTATGCCACTCCAAACAGCTCTGTTAGTGGGGCTAATTATTCTCTTGCTTCTATGGATCAAGTAGAACCTGTAGTTGGTGGTGTTCCCAATCGTTTTCTTGGAATTACACCGGCTTATTTGTGGCAGACTCAGCATCTAAAAACACCATTATCTGTGGTATAACATGTGAATCACAGTATATGAAAGTCAGATTTAGTATTTTTTTTATGATAGTTATTATTTTGAAGTGATTAGCTAGCTTGGTTATGTTTTTTTATTATTGACACAAACAATATCATTAGGATATGACAGAATATCGTATGGCTCTCTCACGGGAGGTAGATGCTCGCTTGAAAATGAAATGTGACAAGTTATCAGACGCGTTTGTGCTGGATGACAACGGTAAGTGTGAATTGCAGATTTCTGATGTATATGGGGACACAATGGTGGCGATTTCGTCTGATTTATAGTTTGGTTCTTCTAGCTGATACCTTGTTTCTAGATTCAGATTCATCATCATCTGGAAGTCAAAGTTCAACTTCACGGCTTCCAGAAAGGTTTGAGCTTATTCAAGTAGCCTAATTCTTTTAATACTTATTAAATTCTTCTTTTTTATTTGGGCACAATGTTGAGGGAATTCTTATTCACTTGTAATTTGCAACATAGAGAATTCACATTATTTTGGTTGGATTGAGGAGTAAGTATGCAACCTAGGGCTTCTACTCGAGAATTGCATATATTTAATGCATAAGAGACTTAACTCGTTTTCAACTTCATTTTATTTTATTTATTTATTTTTTATTTTTTATTTTTTTTAACGAAATAATCAATTCTAACTTAATGAATGACAAAATGATGTCTATCCCGTTTTGTGAAAGATTTTGAAGTAGGTCATATCTTTATTCATACAATTTTATATCAGTGTATTGATTAAAATGAATAGTTCAACTGACATGACTTATATACTCAATGCTTCCTTTAATTTTTGTGATTTAGATTATATGAATCAAAATTTGTTTAATTTTTTATTTCTATATCTCCACAAGACGGGGGTGTTTTTATTAGCGGGTAGGCTTATGGCGAATAAGCTAGAGAATTTGTAGTGTTTGGTAAAATTAACGTTTGTTCTTGTTGATAAATATGAAAAGACATAACTCAACCCCTACAAAACCGGTTCGTAAGGTGGGAACTGCTCACCCACCACCTATAAACACATGTTTAGGTCATATCTTATTCAATGTGGTACTATTAAACATATTTTTAGTACAGATCGGGCTTATATTTTCCATTGCTTATGGCTTATGCTAACCACAAACATTTGATATGGCAAAGGTCTTTAATGAAGTAGGAGAGCACTAATGTGTGAAGTGCATGCTTCAGTACATGTATGCTGATGCTAGAAATATATCTGTTTACTGAAGTTTCTTTCTCTAATATCTGTTATCATACCAGAGTGAAGTTGTTGATTGAGGAGATCGAAAGAGAAGAAGCAGCACTGAGAGATGACCTTTATTCTGCTGATAGAAAATTCGCTGAATATTATAGTGTACGTGCATAAGCATTTCTCTCTTGCTGACACATTTCTCAAAATTCCCACTCTGAATCTACACGCGCGTGTTTGTGAGAGATATCATGTGTGGTTTGTTATGCTTATACATTGTATTTCTTTTTCGGTCTTGTGTATATGGTGATATAATGTAGATAGTTGATGTCATTACTCTTAATCAGGTATTGGAACAGATACTTGGGGTGCTCAATAAACTTGTCAAAGATTTGAAGTTGGATCATCAACATAAATATGTGAGTATTTATTATTCCCCATAGTCCACTATTTTGATAGCTAAGGACACATCTTGACTTCCAAATATGTTTGTAGGATGAGACGCAGAAAACTTGGCTCTGTAAAAGATGTCAGACCATGAGCGCAAAATTGAGGTTTGTTTGCTATCTTTTATCTTATACCTTGATATCAAAATACTGACATGTTTTAGAACTTAAGAAGGGATTCTTTTGATATATAGACAATTTTGTTTTTATTTTTTAGTAGTCTGTGTTTAAAATTCCCAAATGGATGTGTTTATTTTAGAAAGGAAAAGTGATCTTGGCTCTAAAATTTATTAAAATCTCGAGATTAATGATTTAGATAGAAACATGGTCCTTGATAGAGCATTATAGCGAAAGTTGATCCATGTAGCCGATCCTACGTAGTGGGATAAGGTTTAGTTGTTGTATGTTATTTTTGAATTTATGTGTGCACATTGGTAGTTATTAGATTTTGAGAAAATTTCATGTATAATGGAAGATCAGCAGGAGACATCAATGAAATAAATCGCATCTTAAAACAAATAATTAATTATGTTTTTAATTTTTGCTTATTTGAATAGTAATTTTGATCAAACTTTTAGTCACATGGCCAAACTGCACAATTTAAATAACATGAATTGTCGAATTTGTAGTAAAATGGTTTCGATAGATAATTCATCCACAAATAACTCTAAAACTTTGCTGGATTTATGTCGCTTAAATTTAAATTAAATTAAATTTGTATTTGTGCTGGATGTTATCAATGTATTAGCACCGATATTTTCTGGTTTACTTACATTAATTACATTATGTATTTCTATTAAATTATTAGTAGTTTCAAAATTTGTTAGTTTTGCTGTTATCTAATACCTTTGATATCTGCAATTTCATGCCAGGGTTCTAGAAAATGTTCTTCTTCTCGGAACTTACACTAAGGAGTCTATTCCCGCCCTTCATAAGATAAGGTATGAATGATGAAGCCTTTGTAACTCTAAACAGTTCCTGATTTAATTTTAATCAGCCATTTCCTTTAAATTTTAGGAAGTATCTCGTCGAGGCTACTGAAGAGGCTTCTATTGCATATAACAAAGCGGTATGTTGTATGTTTCCATATGCATGTTTTCTCATTTGGATGATTTAGAGCTCATCATGGATGTGTTGGTTATATGTATTAATATTAACCCTTGTACCAGGTTACTCGACTGCGCGAGTACCAGGGTGTGGATCCTCACTTTGACGACATTGCGAGGCAGTACCACGACATTGTAAAGGTGACAATAGTTAAACCAAATGCACACACCATGTTTTAATATCATTTCAATTTCCTATAGAAACAATCTTTTGGTTTTAAAAAGATTCTTACATTGATGAGAAATTGTGCAGAAATTGGAAAACATGCAATGGACAATAGACCAAGTTGAGATGGATCTGAAACGCATGTCAGATAGTTCTACCTCATAGAAGTTTTATGTTTGTGTTCATTTAACACGGTTTGATTTTCTACATGTTGTGAATGGAGTTAAGGACATGACTCCTCCCTTAATTATGCATTTGTTTTGTTACTTTTTATATAGACCCACCGATTTGAAACATCATCCAAACTAGTAAAGAAATGTAATTTCTTCATCATGAGTTGAACTTAGGAAGGATTTGGAAGCTCGAATTGTGCACGTGTATGGCGAAGCTAATCATTATGCTGAATCACTCGCAAAACTAGAAGTTAATCATAGGGGGAGGCATAAAGTATTATGATAGTTGTTCTCAAAAAAATAAAATACCCACAATGCGTAGAAAAAAACAAATATATCCACAAATCCTCCGTCGGCCGATAAATAATAAACACCTAGTGTAACTCTACCAACAAATCCTCAAACTTATTTCAATGAATGCACCTAGCTGTTTTGATATTCCATTCTCCTCTCTTCAAATTTTGCTCTCAATGAATGCACCTAGCTGTTTTGATATTCCATTCTCCTCTCTTCAAATTTTGCTCTCGTGTTCCTTTTTGTTAAATATAATTCATTGTGTAAATATATTTGATTTGATATGATTAGATATCATATGATTAGATTAGATTTGATATCATATGATTAGATTTGATATCATATGATTAATTTGATATGATATGATTAGATATCATATGATTAATTTGATATGATATGATTAGATATCATATGGTTAGATTTGATTTCATATGATTAGATTTGATATCATATGATTAGATTTGATTTAGAATATTTTGGGCCTTTTATGTTTTGGGCTAGTGTAAACCTAAAACTATAAATAGGGTGCCTTGCTTTGTATTCTACATCACAACAGAACAGATTTCACAGTTGCAGTTAGCAAGTGAAAGTTCAATAAGAAATCCCACAGTTGTGGGTAACACATTCTCTCCAAATACTTTTTCTCTCATTCTTCTCTTTCTTGTTTGTTATTCTTCTTTTCTTTTGTTGTTCTTGATAATTACTTGTTATTACCATCATTATCATATTGTGGGTTTGTTCATTAATCTTGAGATCAAAATTGAAGGGAATTTTTCATAGGGTGTGAGGTGAATTTCCAACATCTGGTATCAGAGCTCCGGTTAAGAGATTCAAGGAAGGAAGATAGTGATGGCGATGAACTATCCAAACGGCAATTTTCCGGCGACCCTGCCAATTCTCAAGAAAGACAATTATGAGAATTGGTGCAAGCAGGTTAAAGTGATTTTCTGTTATCAAGATCTTTGGGATCTTGTGAAGGACGGAGTGACACCGCTTGTGGAGAATGCAACGGAGGCGGAAAAGGCTGCGCACAAAGAATTGAAGAAGAAAGATTATAAAGCACTCTTTATAATTCATCAGTGTGTTGATCCTGATAACTTTGAAAAGGTTAGTGATGTTGATTCAGTAAAAGAAGCATGAGAGATTCTTGAAAAGTCGTTTGGAGGTGCAGAGAAGGTGAAAGAGGTGAGGTTACAAACTCACAAGAGAACCTATGAGTTGCTTCAGATGGAAGACAACGAAAGCATTACAGATTTCTTCACCAGAGTTACAAAGTTGGTGAATCAAATCAAAGTATGTGGAGAAGCGCTGACGACGAAAGCAGTTGTCTCAAAGATTTTGAGATCGTTGGCTCCAAAGTTCGACCACGTGGTAGTTGCCATAGAAGAGTCGAAAGATCTGTCAGTGTTGACGAAGGAAGAGCTTCAAGGGACTCTTGAGTCTCATGAACAGAGGATGGCTGAGAGAGCTGCAGGAAATTCGAAAGATATGGCTTTGCAGGCACAGACGGAAAAGGAGAGAAAAGGCAAAGGTAGCTGGAATGACAACAAAGGAGGAAACCAGTCGAATCAAAAGAAACCTTGGAACCAAGGCAACCAAAGAGGTGGTGCTGCAGGAAGAGGTGGTGGTCGAAAGACAGACAAAAGCCACATTCAATGTTTCAATTGCCAAAAGTATGGTCATTATGCTAGTGATTGTCCAGAAAGGAAGAGAAATCAAGAGACTGATGCAAAGTTGGCGAAACATGAAGAAGAAGAAACGTTGCTAATGGTTACAACAAAAGATGAAGAAAGATTCCAAGATCAGTGGTACTTGGACTCAGGATGCTCATCACACATGACTGGAAGGAAAGATTGGTTTGTGAACATGAAGCCCTCGTCGAAGAACACAGTGAAGTTTGCAAATGACAACACTCTAGCAGCTGAAAATGTTGGTGATGTTCTGATCATGAGGAAAGATGACAAAAGGTCAACAATTTTCAATGTGTTGTACATACCAGGCATGAAGAGTAATTTGCTCAGTATAGGGCAGCTTGTCGAAAAGAACTACAAGGTAGTTGTCGAAGACAAGATGATGAGAGTTCTCGACGCAGGTGGTAGATTAATCTTGAAGGCTCCAATGTCTCAGAATAGGACCTTCAAGATTGGACTCAATGTGATGGAGCATAAGTGTCTAGCAACTGCAGCCAGCAGAGATGAGTGGTTATGGCATTTTCGACTAGGTCATCTCAACTTTAATGACATCAGAGAACTGAAGAAAAGAAATATGGTTTCAGGATTACCAGAAATCGACATTCCAAGTGAAGTCTGTGAGGAGTGTGTTCAGTCGAAACAACACAAGAATAGCTTCAGCAAGGATGCAGGAAGGAAGTCGAAGGCAATACTTGAAGTCATATACTCTGATGTATGTGGTCCAATCCAGGTGGATTCGATTGGTGGCAATAGATACTTTGTCACGTTTATAGATGATTACAGTCGAAAGCTGTGGACTTACCTCATCAAGAAGAAAAGTGATGTGATTGAGGTATTTTCCAGATTCAAGTCCATGGTCGAAAGACAGAGTGGTCGAAAGCTGAAAATTATGAGGAATTGATGGTGGTGGAGAGTATGTGTCGAAAGAGTTCGATACACTATGTGTAAAAGAAGGGATTGTACATGAGGTGGTGCCACCCTACACTCCACAGCAAAATGGGATTGCAGAACGCAAGAACAGAACCATCATGAATATGGTGAGAAGTATGTTGAATGGAAAGCATCTACCCAAAGAATTATGGGGAAAAGCAGTTTCGACATCAACATATATATTGAACAGATGTCCGACGAAGAAGCTTGAAGGAATCACACCAGAAGAATGTTGGTCTGGTGTCAAGCCTAGTCTCAGTCACTTGAAGGTGTTTGGATCTATAGCACATAGACATGTGCCAAATCAGTTGAGAAGGAAGCTTGATGATAAGTCGAATCAGATGATCTTGATAGGATATCATTCGACAGGAGGTTACAAGCTGTTCGACCCAGTGAATAAGCAAGTAGTGATCAGCAGGGACGTGATCATAGATGAGCTTAAAGAATGGGATTGGACCGAGAATGCCAAGAAGGATTCAGTGAGAATATCTTGTGAAGAACCAGCCACTGAAGTCGAAATAGAAGTTCGACAGAAACCAGTTGCAGATGAAGCAGGTTCAAGCAGACCTCGACGAACAAGACACATGCCTGCAAGGTTGCAAGAATGTGTAATCACATCAGATGATGTAGTCGATGAAGAGGGTGAGCTGGTATATTATGCTTTCTACGCAGATGTCGAACCAGTCAATGCAGCTGAGGCATTGAAAGATTCGAAGTGGGTGAAAGCAATGATTGAAGAGTTAGAGTCCATCGAAGTCAATGATACCTGGTCACTTGTCGAATTGCCGCAAGGCAAGAAGGCAATTGATGTGAGGTGGGTTTACAAGGTGAAGGTAAATCCTAAAGGAGAAGTAACTCGACACAAAGCGAGACTTGTGGCGAAAGGATTTCTTCAGAAGGAAGGAATCGACTTCGATGAAGTATTCGCACCTGTTGCTAGAATCGAAACAATCAGGTTGGTTGTTGGTCTAGCAAATATGAACAACTGGCACACATGTCAGATGGACGTGAAGTGGGCCATGATGAATGTAGACAGTTTAGACACAATGAATTAGGTGGTGTGTTAAATATAATTCATTGTGTAAACAAATTTGATTTGATATGATTAGATATCATATGATTAGATTATATTTGATATCATATGATTAGATTTGATATCATATGATTAATTTGATATGATATGATTAGATTTGATTTCATATGATTAGATTTGATATCATATGATTAGATTTGATTTAGAATATTTTGGGCCTTTTATGTTTTGGGCTAGTGTAAACCTAAAACTATAAATAGAGTGCCTTGCTTTGTATTCTACATCACAACAGAACAGATTTCACAGTTGCAGTTAGCAAGTGAAAGTTCATTAAGAAATCCCACAGTTGTGGGTAACACATTCTCTCCAAATACTTCTTCTCTCATTCTTCTCTTTCTTGTTTGTTATTCTTCTTCTCTTTTGTTGTTCTTGATAATTACTTGTTATTACCATCATTATCATATTGTGGGTTTGTTCATCAATCTTGAGATCAAGATTGAAGGGAATTCTTCATAGGGTGTGAGGTGAATTTCCAACACTTTTAATCTTCTTTAAGATGTTTTTTTTTACAAATTAAATGCTGATTTTGTTTTTTGTTTTTGTTTTTGAGTTTTAAGATGTGTTGAGTCTTTAGATTGTTGTTTACGGGTATAGATTGATGTTGATAGAATTTTTTATAACACCCCTAAACCTTGAATGGAATATTGTAAAACTCTTTAATAAATTAAAGTATAACCGTTAAAATAATAATAATAATAATAATAATAATAATAATAATAATAATAATAATAATAATAATAATAATAATAATTATTTTTGTACTATAAAATTTGGGACTAATAAATATTATGTCGGTCCCAAATCTTTTCCAATTAATAAATACCAAATTAAATTCGATTAAATATTGTGTTTTGAATGGAAGACAATTATTCAAACAAAATTTAAGTAGGACTAGCACTCGAATACATGGAAAAAAGATAAGATATTACGTCTTCCCCAATCCTTTTTCAACTATTTTATTGAGAAAAAGATTTTAAAAGTTTC